ACTGGAGGCCATATGTTGAAATAGCTATGCATTGGTCCCCGGTGAACATACAACATGTCCTGGCTCTGGTGGACACAGGGGCTGAATGTTCACTGATTCATGGTAAACCTGAATGGTCACTGGGACCCCCACTATCATAGATGGATATGGGGGTAAAGCTATCAGAGTGAAAAAAGCCCAAATCCCTTTGGGAATAGGACATCTACCCCCAAAAGAGTATACTCTGTATATATCTCCTATCCCTGAGTATATTTTGGGGATTAATATCCTGCAGGGTCTATGGTTGCAGACCACTGCAGGTGAGTTCAGACTAAGAGTATGTGTGGTGAAGGCAGTTCTGAGGGGACATGCTAGGCACCTACCCATAGCTTTGCCTGTGCCTCAGCGGGTAACTAATACCAAAAAATACAAACTACCTGGAGGTCATAAAGAGATTGGAGAAACTCTCCAGGAGTTGGAAAAGGTGGGTATTATAAAGCCCACCCATAGTCCTTTCAATTCCCCAGTGTGGCCAATAAAAAAGTCAGATGGCTCCTGGCGTATGACTGGATTACAGAGAATGGAATAAAGTCATACCCCCTATGCATGCTGCTGTTCCCTCTATTGCAGCCTTGATGGATACCTTCAGCCATGAACTAGGAACATACCATTATGTGGTAGACCTTGCTAATGCCTTCTCTTCTATTAACATTGAACAGGAAAGTCAGGAACAGTCTGCCTTCATGTGGGAAGGATGGCAATGGACTTTCACCGTCCTTCCACAGGGATACCTCCACAGCCCCGCCGTCTGTCACGGACTTGTAGCCCAGGATTTGACTACATGGGAGAAACCACCAATGGTGTGGCTATACCATTATATTGGTGATGTCATGCTCACGTCTGATTCTTTTTCAGGTCTAGAAGGTGCAGCACCTAGACTGCTGCAACATTTACAGGAGAAAGGATGAACTGTGAACAGTACTGAGGTTCAGGGACATGATTTGTCTGTCAAATTCCTGGGGGTCGTCTGGTCAGGTAAGACCAAAGTTACACCAGAAGCAGTTATAGATAAAGTCCAGGCCTTTCCTACCCGCACAACTGTAACATTGCTACAGGAGTTTCTGGGTCTTCTAGGCTACTGGAGAGTGTTTATCTTGCACTTGGCGCAAATTCTGAAACCCTTATACCGATGGTATGAAAGGGCATCAGGTAGGACTGGGATGAGACATGTGCATCTGCCTTTACCTACAGCAAAAGGGGCAGTCAAGGTCATGCAGGCCTTGAATGTGATAGACCCATCAAGGCCCTGTGAGCTGGACATTCGTGTGACTGAAGACAGTTATGTCTGGGGTCTCTGGCAGTGGCTTGAACAAACTCGCCAACCTATTGGATTCTGGTCACAACTCTGGAAAGGGGCAGAGGTACAATACATTTTGATAGAAAAACAACTGGCTGCCATGTATCACGCCTTGCTGGCTACAGAAGCCATCACTGGAATGGCCCCGATAAAGGTAATAACCACCTCTCCCATCTTGGGGTGGGTATGAGACTGGACCCGAAAGCCAAGGAGTTTTGTGGCACAAACGCCCACACTGGCCAAGTAGGGTGCTCACCTACAGCAGAATAGTGCCCTCTCTAGTAGCCCCTTGAGTGAAGAACTCCAACCCTTATTGGGGCTGGTGACATATACTAGTGAAAAGCAGGAAGAACTTGCTTTTGAACCATTAGTAGCAGAGAGTCCCTATTGGGAGGGAAGAGCCCCTATACCTGAAGATGCATGGTATACAGACGGCTCCAGCCATGGGCAGCCCCCAGAATGGAGTGCCATAGCTTTCCATCCTAAGACTGAGACCATATGGATGGAAGATGGTGAGGGGAAGAACAGCCATTGGGCAGAGTGGCAGGCTGTGTTGCTTGCGATCAGCCAGGAGCCCTCCCCTATAGTTGTCTGCACTGACAGCTGGGCCGTCTATTGGAGCTTGACCCTGTAGCTACCAACCTGGTACCATGCCAACTGGCTGGTTGGTCACTGACCCCTTTGGGGGCAAGAATTGTGGCAAGACTTATGGGCCTGTGGTCAGACTAAAACAATTACAGTATACCACATGAGAGGTCATTTGCCACTGGCGTCCCCAGGAAATGATGAAGCAGATAAATTGGCCCAGATATGTTAGTTAGAAGGAAAGCCTTCCTCTGATGTATCCCAGTGGTTACATCAGCATTTATTGCATGCGGGGCAAAAGACAATGTGGGCTATAGCCCATTGGTGGGGTTTGCCTTTGACCTTTGAAGAAGTTAGTAGAGCCTGGAAGGAGTGTGTCATGTGCTCCAATAGGAACTTACACTGAGTTCCACAGCAACATAGGACAATAGCTAAGGGGCCTATACCCCTTGTCAGGTGGCAGATAGACTATATTGGGCCTCTACCTGTGGCAGAAGGATATTGGTATGCTATGACTTGTATGTGGACACAGCTACTAGACTTCTGGTTGTTTTTCCTACCCGTTGTGCAGACCAGCAGATGACCAAAAGAGGCCTGGAGTGTCTCTTTGCCACCTATGGCCAACCACAGGTAATTGAGAGTGATCAGGGCACCCATTTTACTGGACATACACTGCAAGAATGTGTGTGACAGTTGGGAATCAAGTGGAAGTTTCATGTGCCATACAATCCTACCACAGCAGGCACAATAGAGAGGCACAATGGCTTGTTAAAATCCAGAGTAAAGTCAGATACCAGTTGTCTGCAGGGATGGTCAGTCCACTTATGGATCGTGCTATGGCATTTGAATGAGAGACCCCGAAAGGGAGCCCTGAGCTCCACAGACATGTTAACACATATGGCTGCCTCCCCTATACATCAGCAAGTACAAACCAAGGAAGAATCACTGAAGCTGAGGTTCGCCACCAGAATAGTATCTTGCTGCCAGCACCAGCTGCACTGAATCCCGGAGACTCCATTGAGTGGACGAGGCCTTGGACCTTTCGACACATGGACCAATGATGGCTGGCTCTCCTGGCTCCTTGGGGACAAGGCCTGGAAGCTGGCCTCCTGTGTATTCCTGGAATAACAGCAGAGTGGCCCCCAAAGGTCACAGTAGTATATCCTGAATGACAAGAAGGTAGGAGCCTCTTACTGGGGAGTTTTGTTTTATCATTATGGCCAGCGCATGCACCTCCAGTAGCACTATATATAGACCCTTCAGTAACCCCCATGGGGAAAGGAGTAAAAGTATGGTATACTAGACCTGGAAGGGACCCCCTTCCTGCTACAGTCCTATCACAGGAGCACTCTCGCATGCATCCTACCTGATGGACAAGATTTGCCTATGTTGATGTCATTAAAACATGATTCTTATTGCCCTAAGGTCTTTGTGGATTAGGAACTTTCTCTGGCTTGAGGATTATTATAATTTTTGTACCCTGTATCAAAATCTTGTTGTATCTTAATTTTTGTTATTATCTCTAAGTTGTTGCTATCCTCTGTTGCTGTTGTGGAATATGGTTACAGTGCTCCATCTTTCTCGCACAGGGACCATTGCAGAAGATTGAAAGCATGTAGATGGTAAGGCAAGAATCCTGGAGGGGTGGAGTGTGGGGAAGTTGGGGTTCCTATGGCCAGGATCCTCACTGAACTTAAACCACCTGACAGTGTAACTGGCCTGTTGCTAGGCTACTGCTTCCACACCTTTAGGCAATAAGCTATTATTGCACTATATAGAGAGTTTGGCCCAGTGCCCTGGGCAGAGGCCAGAGATGCTAGTGCTGGGAGAACAACCTGGGTAATAAAACCTTTCACCCCAAAGAATGGTTTGCTGTCCATTTTTTTGGTCACATTGAATCCATAGTGAACTTGTCCAGGGCTGAAACCCATTGGCAAGACAGATGGAATGAACTGGCTCTGCTCGCAGGAAGCCTTTGTAATGTCTCTCAGTGAAAAACTACCCAGAATCCTCTGAATCACCAGGTTTTTCTGAATCCCAGGCTCAGTAATGAACACATGAAATAACCTAGCTGTATCAATGTATGTGTCTCCAACTTTCGCCAGTCACCCTTGGCATCATTCTCACATCTATGGGATGAACACCTTACACTACTTGCTGTTGACATTTATTTCCCGCTAACACCCATGGATCGTGTACACTGCCAAGCTGAAAGACTCTGCTTGTTCCATAGTTTGCATTACCTTCTTGACAGAGGACCAAAGAAAGTGGTGTATTTCATCTTATCAACATTCCCCCTGGCAAAGCTCCCTAATTCAGCCTTTCCCAGTGTCATTTCTACTTGGGTATCAATGAATAGTTGTTCCTCCATTGAAAACTAAGCAAATATTTGATATCTGATCTTGCTCCAAAATATGTGTACTGGGTTTCTGTTACCACTGTGTGTGTGTGTGTGTGTGTGTGTGTGTGTGTGTGTGGTGTGTGTGATCCAAGGTTCTTAAAGTTTGAGTGTTTCTGTTCCCTGCTCCTGATAGATAATTAAATGGAATATACAAACACACTTGCCCATTTACCTAGAAAATGGTTTCTAAACAGTCCAGCTCCAATATATGTAATGAACATCTTGAATATACATAATAATGAGACAAGTATGTGTGAACCCACCCCAGCTTGGGGAGTATGGAGGTGTCGATGTATATCCTCCCCATTTCCTTCCCCTTTAGTGTTCTCCCCTCTCCACTCCCTAAAGGTCACAAATATCCTGATTCCTTCCCTATCCCGTATTCCTTTACGTTTTTGTATAATGTCTTACCATCTATTTATGGTTCTGTAAACATGAGTTTTGCTTGCTGTGACCTTTAAAAAAAGGTTTTATTTCCTTTACTGAATATTACGTTTCTGAAACGCAGTGGCTCTACTTCATGCATTATCAGTGCTACATAGTTTACCAGTGTAATCGTTTTCCACACATTTCTTTCACAACATTTCAAAGGCGATCATGTGTGCAAAGCCCTTAGCACAGCTCCCGGCGCAGTCGGCGCTTTGTTCAAATGTTGAATGAGGCTGAGCCCCGACTCACCCTAGCACTGACACTTGTTTTCCCGGCTGCATTGTCTACCCTTCGCCCCAGTGCTGAGGGTCCTGCTGCTCTTCCACCAGAAGTTAACCGTTACGAATTTTGCGAGCAGCTCTCTGGACTTCGGCGTCTCTGTGCGCACCTACGTCTACAATTCCCAGAGAACATTGCGGCGCGCCTTTGCGTCATTTCAGTTTCTTTCCTCGTCCCGCCCTCGGAGGCCCGGGTGTGTGGGCGGGGCCTCAGGAATTCTCCAATGAGCTCCTTAGTGAGAGGAGGGGGCGGGGCCTTTGTCCTGGGAGCGCCTCTGCAGAGGCTCCTGTAAGCTGGGGGGTTGCTGGGGCGCCGGCGTTCGCGGCGTCACTGAGCTGCGCCAGCGGTGCGGTGGAGCTGGGCACCTGTCCTGCGATCTCCGAAGCTCGATCGTTTCCATAACGGCGGTGAACCCCGCTCCCATGTCCTAGGTGCTTCCAGCACCCCGGATCCTCCACGCCCATGGCCACTAGCCTGAGGAGTCCCTCTCTCACCCAGTGTTCTTCGTCCCCCAGCAGCACAGACGACGAGGGCGTGCGTGGCACTTGCGAAGATGCTTCTCTATGCAAGAGGTGCCAGCGGGGCGTGGGGTTAGGGGCCGTCCTCCCGGGTCGGGGGCGTGCATGTGGTGGTGCCGGGGCCTAGGTGGGAGGCGAGCCTGTGTCTACGGAGTCCCCCGGTGCGCCGCCAAGTACCCGTCCGCTCGTAGACCCTCGCTGCCCACCTGTGAAGTACACAGAGCAGTAGTTCATTTATTTATGAAGTGATAGGTACCTAACCTCCGTGTGCCAGTGCACTACTGGGCGTCCGTGAGTGGGCGGAGTGCGCCGAAGCAGGCAGACGCGGTCGTGGCCTTCTTGGAATAAAGTCTTGGGGAAAGACATACGTGAAGGAAATAATAACTACAGTTTTGATGCATTAGGAGAAGTGCTGTTCTCTCTCTTTTATAGGCTGCGTTCCACTAGGAGTTGTCACGATCTCATTGTGTACCTGAAACTCAAGCGAATCATGGAGGGAACTGGACTGTCCAGGGCCACATAATATTTGTGTTCAGAGCCCGTGCTTCCCCAGAACTCTTGCTCCTATGCTACAGCAGTCAACACTATTAGAGGTGCAGTGAGGATTGGGAGCGGGTTCGGGCATTGGGAGCTAGGTATGTGTCACACGCCTGAAAGCATAAAAAAGAATGTGTGATGCTTGAGTGTACATCATTCGTGCATTCACTTAACACAATTTATTGAGAGCTTACTTTGTGCGGGGCCCTTCCTTTTGGCTGGTAGGTGGGTGCTCAGATTGAGAACACGTGATGAGTAAGACCCACAGGGTGTCTGACAGAGTGGAACTCACTTACTTTTTGGAAAAGACAGGAAGCAAATAATTACCCATGAAATAACATAAATACAATTTTTTGTTGAGTGCTGTGAGCGTTCTATTGGAGTTTGTAATTTAGTCAATAATGTGTAAAGGAGAACAAGTCTAAAAAAAAAAACAGGGATGTTGGAGAGTGCTCAGGCAGAGCAAGTTAGGATTGTGGACTGTTACATGAACTGGAAAAATGCCCTTGAACCTGGGGCCACATAGGGACTGTACAGTAGAGAAAAATCAAAATTTGGGGTTAAGGCTTATACTTTTTGTAGCTCCTGGAGACTAGGGCTTGTAATTGAGAACATGGACTCAACACAGAGTCTGTCAAACTGATTCTAGCTCTGCCACTTACTGGCTGTATAAACATGGGCCATTCTTTCAGTTTCCTGATCTGTAAATGGGGATAATATTAATACCCATTTCATAGGTGTTTGTGATGTTTAAGTGATATTTAATAGCAGCCAAGCACTTAGGAGCAGTTTCTGGCATAAAGTAGTTGTTAGTGTTGTTTGAGTAAATAAATAAATACATGCATGAGTATTAAAGACTTGGAGGCAGTCCCTGGTGAAATGTATGCCCTTAAATGAATTACACTGAATTTTATTTCTTCTTCAGTTTTCAGACACTACTGACCACATTTTTGCATTGTTGAATTAGAAATAATTTGCTAAGAGAATCTGCAGTACCATCAGAACTATCATAGGTAAATAAAATATTTTCAGTAGCACATTAGGCTTAGGTTTATAGAATATTTATGGATAATAGCTGTCTAGTATTCGTTAGTAACATTTTTTGTAACATTTAAAGTAATTAGGTATAAAATTCTTCAGACACAAGACCTAAATAAAAACTGTGTGACTAAGAGCATGCCTTTCCTTGACTCTCTGTTGGATAGTTTGTGTAATTTCAGTTCTCCTCTGCCTCAGGTTCCAATGCCCTGTATGTTTACAGACTTCCACACATCACAGGTGAGGTCTGAGTTAGAAACTGCAGAGAATCGTAAGCAGTAGTCCAATCTCAGTAGTGCCCATCAGGATAGCCTACGGGGCTTTAAACACAATGCAACACAACATTCAGGGCCTACTCTAAACCCACTGAATCAGAATCTTCTGGAATGGGTCCCAGTGTACGTAGACCAGATGTGTTTGCCATCTGGTTGCATTTCATCCAAAGCTTTTTTGCACTGGGTTGTTCCTCCTCTGAAAAAGCATGCCGACAGATTGGGAGAATACATAAGTGAGTGTTGAAGACGTTTTGCAGGACTCAGTGTCTTTCAGGTTCTGTGATACTGTGATCTGCTTTTTCGCTGTAGTGTGTGAAATCCTTAAATTTCATCCAGAAGGCCTTTCATTGAATATGGATTCCTTGCATGAATCATGGGTTAACTACTCTTTCTGCCTTGGGCTCCTTGTCTTTGAAATGGGGATCATAATGCTAACATACCTTTTGGATGTGAAAATTGAATGAGATAGTTGATGCTATCAGGAGTTCGTCTTTTTCCTTGATGGCCTCTTCCTCCTTCAGAACACCTGGCAGTACTGCCATCTCGTCTCCAATGGCACCTTGCTGCTGGTGCTCTCATGCTGCCTTCTCTTGCATCAATGCCATCTCCTTCCTCAGAGAATCCACAGAGGTTTGCAGCTCACATTCTCATGCTGCCATTTCTTGGGTCTCCTCTGTAGACTTTTTTAATACTGTGAGACGCAGCCAACCCACAGTCCCCACTGCCTCACGGGCACTCTGCTTCTCAAAGGATCTACTTATTATACCAAGGGTCACCCCTACTGCCTCAGCTGTCACCTCCACTTGCCTCCAGCCCTGGCTTGGGGCCCAGTCCTCTAGGAGGCAAGCCACCTCAGACCACATACTCATTGGGGGACAATCCACTGTTTCCCCATTCACAGGGGTAGCCCACTGAAGCACCCCTCCCATAAGGGCAGCCTGTCTTTTTCCTTGGTCAGCAATGAACCCTGCCGACTTTCGCCAATTGTCTTACCAATGGGTTTCAGCCCCGGGCAAGTTTGCTATGTATTCAATGTGACCAAAGAAATGACAGTAGAACATTCTTTGGGGTGAAAGGGTTATACCCAACTTTATTTCCAGATGGCAGGTCAGTCATTAAAATCCCATTCACTCAGAGCGAGTCTGCATGCAGGAAGCCAGTCTTTGCCTCTGCGCCCTCTGTCTGCACAGCTGTTCTCTGGGCCTCTCTGCCTGCACAGCCGTCCCACAGAACCGTCCTCTGGGCCTCTCTGCACAGTTGTCCCACAGAACCATCCTCTGGGCCTCTCTGCACAGTTGTCCCACAGAACCGTCCTCTGGGCATCTCTGCACAGTTGTCCCACAGAACCGTCCTCTGGGCCTTTCTGCACAGTTGTCCCACACAGCTGTCCTCTGGGCCTCTCTGCACAGCTGTCCTGCACAGCCATCCTCTGGGCCTCTGTCCTTGGCACTGCCACCACTCCAGCCTCTGCTCTGCTCTCCTGCAGCCTTGCAGCCCTGCCACCATATTGTGCCCAGAGCACTGGGCAGAGCTCTTTATATAGAGTCAACAGCCATGTATTGCCCACAGGTGTGCAGTGAGCTAGTCAACTAGGGCCAGCTAAGAATCCTGACCACAGGAACTCTCATTTTATCCACACCTTTCCATTGAGCTTAGATTTCACGGCCCATCATTCATCCTTGCCCTTCATCCTAGAGAATCCCAACCCTGGTAGAACCAAACTACCTTTGTTTGCCTTGAATACAGGTGGTAGAAATCACACAGCAGGACATTCATGTCAGCCAGCCTCACCTGTTCCTTTACAGAGCCTGACCATTGCAGTATGCTCCTCTGGCCAACTTACGTTCACACTGCCGAGAAACTTAAATCAGACGTTTTCCACTTAAACGTCTCATTTACTCCACCCTTCCTTCATTCTCAAGATAACATGGATGATGTTACAGGTACTGCTTAACATAAGAAATGTAAACCTCCAGACTGGAACTCCATTAATTTCCCTCTAAAAAATGTAACCATCTGTTCCTACTCTGACAGTTGTCAGTCCTCCAGCAAATACCTCCAGCAAATACTGGAAACACAACTAGTTAAGTTGGGTTAATTAGACATTGTAATGAAGGAACCTCACATCCTGGGGACCTCAGGACCGCATCATTAAGAGGGTGTTAGAGCTTAAAGGGTTTGGGCTTTGGTTGGATAATGATGGGCACTTGCTCGGTTTGGGTGCTGAGAAGAGGTGGGGATAGTCCTGCTGGGTGGTTCAATCAATCTTTTCTAGAAGGAGATGTGACTAAGACTAAGGCTGTAGTTCATGAAGAAGATGTAGTCACTCACATCTGCCAGGAGAGAGGGATGTTTGGTATTTAGTGCCTGGCACGGAGACCTTGTGTTTGTGTGTTTAGATAAAATTATGACGCACTGCTATCTTGTCTTGCCTCACTTCCGATTGTGGCCTGATCTGGTCTGGTGCTCTTTGGGAATAAGGCCTCTCGGTGAGCTGCAGGCCACCTTCTAACAGCTCTGAAGCCCGGCTCATGGTACCAGGTTAGCTCCTAGGTGTCAGCACTGCTTTCTTTTTTTCCCATGCAGGAGGTGAGTCTCAAAAAGAAAACGATGTGTTTGCCTGGCAGCAGAAAATAGCTTGAGCTTAACAGCACAGGGAGTAAAGTCCATGATGTGTCAGGGGAATCTGAGATTGGTTGGGAGTGGGTAGCAAGAGAATTAAGGATTG